CATCCAGAGGAACCCTTCAATTCAGTGGCAGTAGAACAGTTCCAGAGAAGTCCACAGAAGAGAAGTAGAGCTTCAAAGTGACACTCGCAATTGCCAACAAATTACCACCTGCAGTGATCTTTAAAGGCGTGCACTCCATGAGACCTTATTGTTTGACCATCATTTCAGAAGGATGACTGGATGGATTTAAATGGTAATATATAGATTTAGACAGGCCTAAAAGCAGAGTTCCTGATTACAACAATTTACCCTAAAGGAAAAAGATCTGTTTTTCTTGGATCAGAAACCTAAAAATGATCAATTGTGAGCATGTCATTAGTTTCACTCTTATCTTCTAGTTAAATTTTAACAAAGTATACCCAATAAGCATACCCAAGATTGTAGAAATCATGTATGCAATATATCAGCTACCTGCAGACATAACGCTGATCAATACAAAGACTATCGTCCTTGACCTAAACGAGGGATATAGTCACAACACATATCAGGGACTTTCCAAGAGACGATTGTGCCTGGAATATGTCAGAAGAAAAGTCAGCAACATGCCAGGGGTTAATTTACGCCAATATTTTGCCTTTGCACATACTTCCTCTTTCTCCTCCAGAGTAATAACCTGACTTGAGCCTGCAATCCAAACTAAAACTAGTACCTGGTCAGTGGTCAACTTTAAAAAAAACACAACCTCAATAAGCTCTAAACCTGAGCATGCAATGTGGTCAAGTGATACTGGTCAGCGGATACCTTGTTTTGACAACTGTCAAATATAACATGGATGTCCAATATCAAAGATGTACTTGTGGTGATGGTGCTACTTTTATTTTTCAAGGTATTAGGCTAGGCTTGGTGTACAGACATACCTACGAACAGTCTCACGACAAACTTTTTGAGATTGATGGGTTACCAAATTTTCTTAGGTATGGGGCCCCACGCACATGCCTTCGGTGCGCAGGAACACGGCTCTGAAGTTGTCCCATTTCCTTTTGTAATCAATAACAAGTGACATCTTGATGGCTCCTGTGAGTGCAGCATAACACTGCCCAGTAATGTCTTCTATCCTTCAAGGTCTTTTGCTTGCTGTTTCACCTCATTCCACCAAGTCCAGCCCAGGTTCTCACTCACTGTGCATGCTTCAACAGTTTCCTCCACACAATCTTTAGTATGCTGTGCCTTCTCTTACTTTCGAGGGCCCAGGTGACAGCACCTTAGCAGTTATTGTCTTACTCTCTCCTCAAGACATGACCGAGCGATTCCCTAACCTTCACATTTTCCAAGATGGGATTCTATCTAGCTCTTTCATACAAATCATGTTGGAGGAAGCATGTCGCCAAAATATGCCCAGAATTATCCTCGCACAATTTTTATGGAAATCATCCATCAATTCGATGTCCCCTAATGTAAACTTCCACATCTCAGCACCATAAATAATTATTGTTGGTACATTATCAATGAAAATTAATGGTTGTTTATCTATTCATTTCAGGTGTAAAAGAATGGATTCATACCTGATTGAAAAAGAACCCTTACAATCAATGCTCACAACTTGTTTGGGATTCTTTCTGACCCATTTCATAGAACAGGTGAAAGCAGTACTTGAGCTCCAAAAGATCGACGTGGCAGTTATCCTGGGTAGCCTAACTTCACTCCTGATTAAACAAGTGACTGAACAAACCCTTTCAGGAAAACATGCACAGACAATATCTCTCGTGCATGATGAAGGGTCCCTATGAATTCACAACAGCTGGAAAGAAGGTCCTGTCATGAGACCTGGTCCTCCACTGGGTAAAGCAGTCTTAGGCAGCAATTTCAACAGAGATGGTGAAACAATCCTTCAAAATATATGGAATGTCAAATGCTCTTGATGCCACAGAGGACAACAAACTTTACTTCCTTGCTCTTTACTGACAAAATGCCAGAACTAACTGGTGATGAAATAGCCAAGGACAATGAGTTCAAGACTGATAGTGAGGCAGAATATGAGAAGAAACTTCATTCATGACATCCAAAAACACACATCGAACAGCTCCTTCAGGAGCCAAAACTTTAATAAAAGTCAATGATAAACAATGACTGGTACTTACTTTGTGTTTACTTATACCCATAATCCCTTGGTTGCAAAAATGCAAAAGTTTGTTTGGGAAAATACTTGACTATATAACACCACTGGGAGTGTGTGTGAAAATCATGAGAAGAATATGTAAAAAGTGTGTGAAAAGAAAGAGCCATGTGATTGGAAATATACATGCTTGCTACAGCAAAGACTCACATGCACGTGAAATTCTTATAATTCACTTGAAAAGTATTTGTCATGCTTGTGAACTTGAAATTACTATGCACAAAGTCATGGGTTTTCAGCTAATTCTGCGCATAGCAGGCTTTTTACTGTAAAGAAATTTCATACGATCTGATATCAAGGTATATGTTATTCACGGGATGATATTTGTTTGCAGGTGTTTGAAAATGCTCACGAGCAGAATTTGATACTCATGCCTTTCTGAAAAAAATGTGGCACAACTTGAAGTGTGATTTGAATTGCGCTGAAAAAAACTCACAAGTTCAAAGTCTATTGATATCATAATTGATAGGATGGGAAAAGTGCAAGTTCATTTTGTTTACTCAGGTTTACTAAAACAAAAATATATGTTTTGCTTGCACTCAAGGAAACAAGAATTACTAGCACTTTGTGGAAATTTTGAGCACTATAACTAGTGCTTTTAGTTTAAAAGATACACATAGTGGGGAAAGTGTCACCCACTCCCTACGGCAGTGCTTTGACAAGCAAGATGTTTATTAAGTCATTCCGGGAGTCTTTGCGTTACGCATTGTCAAGATGTTTGCATAACTTTATATAGCTAGTGGAAACAGACGACTATGGATTTTGATTTATCCCCAGCAAAAATGAATTTCATCATCATCATCATCATTTCTCATCGCGCCAGTAGGCGCAGAAGGCCATAAAAAATGAATT